GATCAGTTTTACATGGAGAATGTTGCATTATGGGTAAATTAACAATAACAATAGGGTTTCAGCACTTCGTGCTTGAACCCCTAATAATAGGGGCTAAAAAGGGACTAAAAAGGCCTATAAAAATAAAACCGTTGGGTCTACGCACTTGGCGCTTGCACTGCTGCGTTCCAAAAACTTTATCACACTTTTTAACATGTGCCTTGGAGTGGAGAGGGTCGCTTTTTTGCCTTTTTAGCTCATTTTTCATGGAAATGTGGTGTTTTATTTTTTCACCTTTTAAACCGCGCCACCTCCACCGATGGCCCGATCTCCATAAAACTTTGCACGCTTCCTTAGAATAATATGGCGCACATGCTCAGCTAATTTGGTGAAGTTTTGAGCAGAGCAGACCATTTTTCAGTCACTTAAATGTCATTCTGCATATGATTTTATGGAGCATTTTCTCCCTTTATAACAGTTAAAGGGCCACCGGTGGACCGACATCCATAAAAGTTTCCAGGCCTCTATTGGGTCAGTTGACGCATGCGCACGCCCGGTTTTGTGAGGTTTCATGCAAATCAGGCAGGTAGAGGGCCGCTTTCATACATTTCATGGGATTTGCCATAGAAATACATCATTTTGGCACCTTTTAACAGTTATAGCGCCACCAAGTGGCCAGTCGCCCCGTCCTTTTTAACGCAACCACAGAATGAGCTCTCACACAGGTGCGTTGAGTTTGGTGCAAATATCTCGTTCCGTTGACGAGTTATAGGCCATTTAGTCAAAGGGGCTCCTCCCACTTGGGACGTTTTGGCGGCCCTCAGGGACCGTGAACCCAAATTTCAACTTTTTTTTGATAATTATTGACATTCGGACTCCATAGAATCTCGCCGCATTGGTTTGGTTCCGGCCGGGCCAAAAACCTAGGACTAGTTCGCAAAAGTAGGTTTTACGAAAAACGCAAAATACCCGAAAATGTACCCAGGGTGACGAGCCAATCCGAGGCATGCATCTTGTCCGGCTGGAGCCAAGGATTCCAACGATGTAAGACACTTGAGCCTACGCCCGACGGTTGAGGAGTTATGAGCCATTTCGTACTTTTGCCCGCTGTAGCGCCCCCGTCAGGCCGATCGGGGCGCGCCTTTGTGACGCTGTCGGCGGATATGAGTACTACCAGCCCACAAAGTTTCAGGTCTCTAGGACTTACGGTTCGTCCTGCACGATCAGTTTTACATGGAGAATGTTGCATTATGGGTAAATTAACAATAACAATAGGGTTTCAGCACTTCGTGCTTGAACCCCTAATAATAGGGGCTAAAAAGGGACTAAAAAGGCCTATAAAAATAAAACCGTTGGGTCTACGCACTTGGCGCTTGCACTGCTGCGTTCCAAAAACTTTATCACACTTTTTAACATGTGCCTTGGAGTGGAGAGGGTCGCTTTTTTGCCTTTTTAGCTCATTTTTCATGGAAATGTGGTGTTTTATTTTTTCACCTTTTAAACCGCGCCACCTCCACCGATGGCCCGATCTCCATAAAACTTTGCACGCTTCCTTAGAATAATATGGCGCACATGCTCAGCTAATTTGGTGAAGTTTTGAGCAGAGCAGACCATTTTTCAGTCACTTAAATGTCATTCTGCATATGATTTTATGGAGCATTTTCTCCCTTTATAACAGTTAAAGGGCCACCGGTGGACCGACATCCATAAAAGTTTCCAGGCCTCTATTGGGTCAGTTGACGCATGCGCACGCCCGGTTTTGTGAGGTTTCATGCAAATCAGGCAGGTAGAGGGCCGCTTTCATACATTTCATGGGATTTGCCATAGAAATACATCATTTTGGCACCTTTTTAACAGTTATAGCGCCACCAAGTGGCCAGTCGCCCCGTCCTTTTTAACGCAACCACAGAATGAGCTCTCACACAGGTGCGTTGAGTTTGGTGCAAATATCTCGTTCCGTTGACGAGTTATAGGCCATTTAGTCAAAGGGGCTCCTCCCACTTGGGACGTTTTGGCGGCCCTCAGGGACCGTGAACCCAAATTTCAACTTTTTTTTGATAATTATTGACATTCGGACTCCATAGAATCTCGCCGCATTGGTTTGGTTCCGGCCGGGCCAAAAACCTAGGACTAGTTCGCAAAAGTAGGTTTTACGAAAAACGCAAAATACCCGAAAATGTACCCAGGGTGACGAGCCAATCCGAGGCATGCATCTTGTCCGGCTGGAGCCAAGGATTCCAACGATGTAAGACACTTGAGCCTACGCCCGACGGTTGAGGAGTTATGAGCCATTTCGTACTTTTGCCCGCTGTAGCGCCCCCGTCAGGCCGATCGGGGCGCGCCTTTGTGACGCTGTCGGCGGATATGAGTACTACCAGCCCACAAAGTTTCAGGTCTCTAGGACTTACGGTTCGTCCTGCACGATCAGTTTTACATGGAGAATGTTGCATTATGGGTAAATTAACAATAACAATAGGGTTTCAGCACTTCGTGCTTGAACCCCTAATAATAGGGGCTAAAAAGGGACTAAAAAGGCCTATAAAAATAAAACCGTTGGGTCTACGCACTTGGCGCTTGCACTGCTGCGTTCCAAAAACTTTATCACACTTTTTAACATGTGCCTTGGAGTGGAGAGGGTCGCTTTTTTGCCTTTTTAGCTCATTTTTCATGGAAATGTGGTGTTTTATTTTTTCACCTTTTAAACCGCGCCACCTCCACCGATGGCCCGATCTCCATAAAACTTTGCACGCTTCCTTAGAATAATATGGCGCACATGCTCAGCTAATTTGGTGAAGTTTTGAGCAGAGCAGACCATTTTTCAGTCACTTAAATGTCATTCTGCATATGATTTTATGGAGCATTTTCTCCCTTTATAACAGTTAAAGGGCCACCGGTGGACCGACATCCATAAAAGTTTCCAGGCCTCTATTGGGTCAGTTGACGCATGCGCACGCCCGGTTTTGTGAGGTTTCATGCAAATCAGGCAGGTAGAGGGCCGCTTTCATACATTTCATGGGATTTGCCATAGAAATACATCATTTTGGCACCTTTTTAACAGTTATAGCGCCACCAAGTGGCCAGTCGCCCCGTCCTTTTTAACGCAACCACAGAATGAGCTCTCACACAGGTGCGTTGAGTTTGGTGCAAATATCTCGTTGCGTTGACGAGTTATAGGCCATTTAGTCAAAGGGGCTCCTCCCACTTGGGACGTTTTGGCGGCCCTCAGGGACCGTGAACCCAAATTTCAACTTTTTTTTGATAATTATTGACATTCGGACTCCATAGAATCTCGCCGCATTGGTTTGGTTCCGGTCGGGCCAAAAACCTAGGACTAGTTCGCAAAAGTAGGTTTTACGAAAAACGCAAAATACCCAAAAATGTACCCAGGGTGACGAGCCAATCCGAGGCATGCATCTTGTCCGGCTGGAGCCAAGGATTCCAACGATGTAAGACACTTGAGCCTACGCCCGACGGTTGAGGAGTTATGAGCCATTTCGTACTTTTGCCCGCTGTAGCGCCCCCGTCAGGCCGATCGGGGCGCGCCTTTGTGACGCTGTCGGCGGATATGAGTACTACCAGCCCACAAAGTTTCAGGTCTCTAGGACTTACGGTTCGTCCTGCACGATCAGTTTTACATGGAGAATGTTGCATTATGGGTAAATTAACAATAACAATAGGGTTTCAGCACTTCGTGCTTGAACCCCTAATAATAGGGGCTAAAAAGGGACTAAAAAGGCCTATAAAAATAAAACCGTTGGGTCTACGCACTTGGCGCTTGCACTGCTGCGTTCCAAAAACTTTATCACACTTTTTAACATGTGCCTTGGAGTGGAGAGGGTCGCTTTTTTGCCTTTTTAGCTCATTTTTCATGGAAATGTGGTGTTTTATTTTTTCACCTTTTAAACCGCGCCACCTCCACCGATGGCCCGATCTCCATAAAACTTTGCACGCTTCCTTAGAATAATATGGCGCACATGCTCAGCTAATTTGGTGAAGTTTTGAGCAGAGCAGACCATTTTTCAGTCACTTAAATGTCATTCTGCATATGATTTTATGGAGCATTTTCTCCCTTTATAACAGTTAAAGGGCCACCGGTGGACCGACATCCATAAAAGTTTCCAGGCCTCTATTGGGTCAGTTGACGCATGCGCACGCCCGGTTTTGTGAGGTTTCATGCAAATCAGGCAGGTAGAGGGCCGCTTTCATACATTTCATGGGATTTGCCATAGAAATACATCATTTTGGCACCTTTTTAACAGTTATAGCGCCACCAAGTGGCCAGTCGCCCCGTCCTTTTTAACGCAACCACAGAATGAGCTCTCACACAGGTGCGTTGAGTTTGGTGCAAATATCTCGTTGCGTTGACGAGTTATAGGCCATTTAGTCAAAGGGGCTCCTCCCACTTGGGACGTTTTGGCGGCCCTCAGGGACCGTGAACCCAAATTTCAACTTTTTTTTGATAATTATTGACATTCGGACTCCATAGAATCTCGCCGCATTGGTTTGGTTCCGGTCGGGCCAAAAACCTAGGACTAGTTCGCAAAAGTAGGTTTTACGAAAAACGCAAAATACCCGAAAATGTACCCAGGGTGACGAGCCAATCCGAGGCATGCATCTTGTCCGGCTGGAGCCAAGGATTCCAACGATGTAAGACACTTGAGCCTACGCCCGACGGTTGAGGAGTTATGAGCCATTTCGTACTTTTGCCCGCTGTAGCGCCCCCGTCAGGCCGATCGGGGCGCGCCTTTGTGACGCTGTCGGCGGATATGAGTACTACCAGCCCACAAAGTTTCAGGTCTCTAGGACTTACGGTTCGTCCTGCACGATCAGTTTTACATGGAGAATGTTGCATTATGGGTAAATTAACAATAACAATAGGGTTTCAGCACTTCGTGCTTGAACCCCTAATAATAATTCCACGTCTACACTAGGGTTTTACAATAGTTAATTTTAATTAATAAATAATATTACTCTATACAAAATAATCTAACGTGAACACGCGAAGCGCCCTACTGTTTGTTTGGAAGAGCACGTGACTCCCCTCCGTGGAAAACATGGCTGCGCCCTGTGCCGCTCAATGCTTTTACAGAACAGGTAGGTTTACAGGTTCATTTAGGAAGAGAGGTAGACTTTACTGTCTAAATTGTACAACATGAACACTCATTCGGACGGGAAGGCAAGCCAATGATTCAGACGAGACAGTTTGAGCTCATGTCTTATTATTTATAATTGCTTATCGGCAGTGTACGCTTAATACTATAAATATAAAACCGAATGCTGCTGCGCTGTTTTATAAGGTAACGACCGTTAGCCTAAGTCACCATAGTTGGAAATATATAGTTGTTGATCAAGATGGGGTTTCAACTTTTATATTTGGTTCCTCCAAGTAAATCTTCAACAATTAAAAATAAACAATTTGAACAATTTACTTATTCATACTTACTTTTCCAAGAGGCTTGACATATGGCACTGTCTTGGAGCTCTTTATTGTTTGCTGGTTTGGCAGAGTCTTTGTGGGTCCAGTAGAAGTAAATAGGGAAAGTAGCATTACAACTCTCGCTGTCTTTTCAGCCTTGCCATTTTTCCTTTAAATTTAAATGAATTATATCCCAAAAGTGAAATGTTATGACTTATTTCATCCCTATAATTTCTAAGTGGTGAAACTAACAGTGTTACAACAACTCACCCTGTGTTACAACTCCATGTCTCTCCTACAACAGTTTTCGAAAAGGACCTGACCTTCACATTTTTCAGTAATACAATCAATAGCCAAATAAATACCAACCAAGCAAATACATTCACCTCATGTTTCTGTTTAAGATTTTCCAATTTATTTAATTGATGGTGTTTTCTTCAAGATTATTACCAATGAATGATCGGGTACAGTAATAAAAACAATAGAGACACATAACATGAGCCAGTTGACATGACGGTAATTATTAATAATCACGAATTGGTGCAACTGCTTTGCCACTCAATAGATAAAAACTAACAAAGTTTCTCATTTTTTTTACAGCATTAATCATTAAACTTGAAATTAATTATTTTCTCAATAAGAAATAAATAACTATTAATTGCTCACATTTCCACCATGTTTGTAGTTATGAAGTTAACAATCAACAATTAGACAAAAGGCCATTCAGAAGAATTAAGATAGACCATCCAGAATGTTATGAGGCATACTTATTCTAATCTTGCATACTGTTTAGGATAGATATATATGTGAATTGGGAATGGCCGCCTCTGGGATTACAGCAAAATTAATGGTAATAGACTGACATAAGATTATCAGATCACATTGATATACTGCAGTCCTGAAGTTACAAGGATTATGAATTACAGCTAAAGCACCAGAATAAGTCTAAAGTCGACCACACACATACACACAAAGGGAATTCAGAGCAATCCACATCCTTGGCCACATCCTTTGCTCTCTGCCACCCAAATTGTTGTCACTACACACACCATCTACCCCACCCTGGGCTAACCCACTACTGCCTTTATTCTAAACCCCCTCAGCCACCCCTCGCTGCTTCTGAGTTACTCCCTTCATCAGTGGTTTTTCATCTTAACTCAACCCCTGCATAACTGCACTTATTTTGGGCTTTTGACCACAGTGTCTTCAGAAAAAAACATTATTTATTTTTTTTCCCTGTAGACAAACCTCTGCTCTCCTTGTTGGTATAGTTACAACATGGTTGTTGATGTATGGTGGTGAATTATTTTCATTTGTGTTATTAAGCATCATATCATGAGAGCATCATTGCATGGTGTAATTGTTTGGAATTTTTGTTTACATTGCAGCTGTGTTATTCTTTTGAGAAAAGGAATGGGTTTGGGACATGATTCACTGAGCCTGAGCAAGGAATATTTCACTTGGCAAAGTTCATTTGAAAATTTGGTTGAAATGCCCTGCAAAGTCATCAAACAGAGACAACACTTTAGTCACACAGATATGAATATTGTGATATACTATTTTACATCTAATTTAGATATATATAGAATTTTCTATATCTAAGTTAGTGCTGTGAATCACGAGTTAATTGCACAGGTTTCTGTAAGTAACCGTGATTAATCAGCCTTAAAGGGATACTCCACTTTTTTTTGGAAATAGGTTCATTTTACCAGTCCCCCTGAGTTAAACAGTTGAGTTTTACCATTTTCAAATCCATTCAGCCGATTTTCTGATATTTAGAAGAATATCAGTAACCAGACAGTTTCTGGTCTCATTGACTTCCATAGTAGGAAAAAAAGAAATATACCGTGGAAGTCAATGAGACCAGAAACTGTCTGGTTACTGATATTTTTCTAAATATCAGAAAATCGGCTGAATACATTCGAAAATGGTAAAACCCTACAGTTTAACTCTGGGGTAGTGGTAAAATGAGCCTATTTCCAAAAAAGGTGGAGTATCCCTTTAACATTAAAATTGCTAACCATAAATATATTTTCAAATTGATGTAAAAATGTATTGTTAATCTAATCTAAATCAAATGTAAAAAATGTGGAAGCTTTTTTTTTCCACTGAATATAATAATAATAATAAAAAAGTAATTGCGACAATTTATCTAACATTTCTGACTTTTTTGTCCCAATTGTGAGTTTACATCTCACAAATGTAAACTGGAAAATGTTAGCTATAAAGTTAGAAAAATTGGTGAGTTGCGTGAAGAATTGGGTGATTGCAAAGAATGTAAACGAATGAATATATAAAGATTTAAGTGATATAAAGAAGAATTGTGTGATATAAACTTGCAATTCTGATTCTTTTTTTTCCAGAACATTACAGTAGTGAAATTTTAACTTGTTAGAGAGCCAATATTAATTACAAATATATATATATATATATATATATATGGTGAAATAAGCTAGTTAAAAGTGGCAAACATTTTTTTTTTTTTTCCCCACATCCAATGCAGTGCTTATCGATATACAGTCTTGTTCCATACAGTATATCGTTTGGAGTGCCCTTTGGACTGAACATTTACACTCACTATAATTTCGAATCACTCTTGATAGCCGAAAGAGAGAAGTACATGAAAAAGAGAAGTTTGCAGTGCACTATTATATCACAGCATTTGTTCATATTTTGGGCTGTGAATAGGTGGTTCGAGGCTGCTACAGAGAGTGGCACAGCTGCCAATCTGCAACAGGAGCTCATCTGGTACCAACCAATGCCCACCTCACCGAAGCTTCTTCTGGAGGAAATCAAAAAGTTCCAGTGTGGTCCGGCCTGCCATAGTGCGCCCCTCTTATGCTGTACCCAAGGTAATCAATGCATCATCACATGACTCTGAGGGGCCGTTTGCACTACACCGTTTTCAACTACGCTGGTTTTTTGGGGCCTGAAAGCACAAACTTTTGAAAACTGGTTTCAAAGTGAACGCTTTTGAAAACAATTCCATTATTATCTTGGTGTAAATTACAAAAACGCTATTTTGTGAATAGGGTGATATCATGTGTATGGTATTACATGTTCAGTCTATGGGCAATGGGCATAGTTTTTCTTTACAAAGTGACCTCGCCAACTACTGGTCTGGCAGCATAATACAGCATTTTTTTTACTGTTTTTGCGGATCCCTGTGATCATGGATGGCTTTGACAATGTTTAGACGCCATGAAATCAAAATTGACAAATTTATTATAAATGATAACATTTCTTTAATCTTTAATCAAAATAATTTCCCCTCCTTCTTGCAACGACTGCTCTTCTAATGTCTGATGAAATGTTTACTGGCGTGACTCACGCGAGGGGCAGGTTGCCACTCACATGAGATCACAGCTATAGAAAAGCACAATGATCCAAACTATTCCTTATGGACAGTATCGTGTCCTGCCCCAAATCTTGTTCGAGAAGCCCTTTCACTCAGATGTACAACTTAATAGCGAAGAAAGGACTATCGCAACTTTCGTTTGATGTCAACTGTACATTTTTAAAAAGACTTGCTCTTTTTTTCTCAGCACATTCAGAGGCCGGACTATGTATCATCCAGCAAAGTGCCCGAGTGGCCAGATTACATAGAGATTAAAGATGAGGAGCAGATCCAGGGATTAAGAAGAGCATGTCAACTAGCCAGACACGTACTGCTTCTGGCAGGAAAGAGTTTGAAGGTATACTCTGCACTTATAAGAAATTTGAGACTGTAACATTGAATAAGCTTGATGTGACATGTCCATGAATTGTTATTTGCAGACACCTCACAATATTGTTTGTTTGCTAGGTTGGCATGACGACAGATGAAATAGACTTTATAGTCCATCAGGAAACGATTCGTCACAATGCCTACCCCTCTCCTTTACATTATGGGGGGTTTCCGAAGTCTGTATGTACCTCTGTTAATAATGTAGTATGCCATGGCATTCCAGACAGGTAACACAGTGCTATTAAATGTCAATTCTTTGTTGTGACTATCTGAAAGTCTATATTATTATATGGGTCAATGGCATAGAACAGGGGTACTCAATCGTGCTTCTGGAGGGCCAATGTCCTGAAGAGTTTAGGTTCAGTCTGCTCCAACACCTGCCCAGAAGTTTCTAGCAGAGATGCGCAGCTCTGCTATTGGAGAAAGTGCAATGGTCCACTTGGATCACTTGTGGCTTGATAACATTACAGCCTTGACGTCACTGAATTGTTTTCAGAATTGTATGACAGTCAATCCCTGTTTGCGAATACCATAGAAATGAATTGTCGAAACTGAATCATACATACAAAATTGTTTGTAAAAAAACAGATTTTTTTTTGTTATAAACTTGTTGTAGTATATAGCTCACTAAAAAAATAATATTGAATGGCCAACATGTTACTGTACAGGTTGTCAATTCATGTAGTAAGAATCTAGCCTGACTTCGTCATACTCATATTCAAGAAAGAATATGAATCTTAAACTCCTCCATTGGGCTTTGATTATGAGGCGTGTCGTACCCGAACCAGGACAAAAAAAACCTCTGCACTCAATTGGATAGTCGGTAGACCTACCAACCAATCAGAGCAACGCATAAGTCAACTCCTTTGCATAGCGCAGTTTTCAAATACAGAACGTAGCCTACTTTATTTATTTTAGAAGTTAAATAATGAGTGTTACTTCTTTTACTTACTTCCTCATGAGTGCCACCAAAGGAGAAACCACAACGACCACAGGCTTTTCATTACGTCCCATCTTCTTAACGACTGTCAGAGCCAGCTGATAAGTTACACTTTTCCCGAATCATGTAGGAAGGACGCCAAAAATATCTTTCCGATCGACAAATACCTTGATTGCAGTTCTCTGTTTGTCTATTAAAATGAATGCGCTGTCGATTTTTTTTTTTTTTACTCAATTCTCCAGCTGCAGTCATCTCTGAGGGAAACCAGTTAGCACTCTTTGATAACGTGATGATTACGTCCCTGCAGATCATCTGTCCATCATCGTATAAAGCCCGCCCTGGCAATTTGATTGGCCCGTCCATTTTTTGCCTGATCATAATTACTCCTCAATGGATCGAGTCCAGACCGAACTTCCCGACCAAAAAATATTGTGGGCGGAGTTCGGGCTGGCATCCAGGCTAGTAAGAATCTGTTTTATCACAAAAGTAGTTTATTCAGCATACTGATATCAGCCTAACCTCTACTGATATCCTTTTGGGTTAACCTTAGAAGCTCTGCTTCACACACTCAAAAGTGCCTTGATTACCTGGTTCAGCTGTGTTTCATTTAAGGTTGGAGCTAAACTTTTCAGGACATTGGACCTTTAGGCCCCGTCCACACTACTGCGTTTTCGTTGACCTTTTGCGGAGACCGGAGACCTTTTGCTACGTTTGCACCTCCCGTCCACACTAAAACGGGAAAAACGAAGACCTAAAACGGAGAAGTTTAGAAACGCTGCAGCTGCGTTTTGCGTTTTGAATCTCCGGAGGGCGTTTTAGTGTGGACGAGACAAAACGGAGAACTTCAGAAACGCTGACGCAGAGGCTGACGCTTGGCTCTATGATTGGGTGTTATCAGTCATGACGTATCCTTCCCTGATTCGTCATTCACTGTTTACACCGGCACGCGCATGCCCAGTGTTGGTGAATGGTCACGTGATCCGCATTTTCAGTCGTTTTAATGTGTATGGAGATCGTTTCTAATACGCAGATAAAACGCTGGTGTGGACGGAGATCGTATTCGTTTTAATTCTCCGTTTTTAAACGAAAACGCAGTAGTGTGGACGGGGCCTTAGGTGTAGGGCATCCCTGACATCAAATATCATGATAAAGGAAAAATATTTTACAAATCTAGCTTAATGCACATGTATCAACTTCTTAAACATTCAAAAGTTTGAATTTATTTGAATTTATTTACTCAAGAAGAGTAACGATCCAGTAAAAAGTGATATTTGACTTTTAATTATAAAATAAACTTTTTGGGAGTCATATGACAAAATAAGACATTCGGATTTAAAGGGATAGTTCACTTTGAAATTAATTTTTGGTATGTTTTAGCTTACCTCAAGGGTATCCAAGATGTATGTGTCTTTGTTTCCACAGTAGTTTCAATTTTGATATTTTTAGGTCAAACCGTTCTTGTCTGTCAGTTAATGCAGGTATAGGGGTCCACCTCAAAAAGCATGCGCAGAGAAGTCCAAATTAAACATGATTTAATGACTCGTAAATGTTAGTACACATTGATGGCCTAAGACACGAAACAAGCGGTTTGTGTGAGAAAACGAACAGTATTTACATCGTTTTTACCTCTTGTCACTTGGACGTGGCTGTGGTTCAAGAAGTAAAAACGATATAAATACTGTTTTTTTTCTCACACAAACCGCTCGTTTCGTGTCTTAGGCCATCAATGTGTACTTACATTTACGAGTCATTTAATCATGCACACTTTTTGAGGTGGTGACCATAGACCTGCATTATATGACTGACAGACAAGAACGGTTTGACCTAAAAATATCAAAATTTAAACTACTGCGGAAACAAAGACAGCTACATCTTGGATGCCCTTGAGGTAAGCTAAAACATATAAAAAATTAATTTCAAAGTGAACTATCCCTTTAACTGTACCTTGTCTTAAAAAGTTATCAAATTACCGGACTTATTGACCTTGATAAAAAAGCTGTGTTCCAATTCAGAGGCTGCATCCTTTGAAGGCCGATTGTGTCACAGCAGCGCGACAAAGGATTACATTATGTATTATTATGGACAGAACCACACATATTTAGGCAGGTTGTTAACCCTGTTTTGTTTTCAGACTGTTGAATATCAATTTCAAAAAAGTCCTTTAAATAATGTAGCCTCTGGTACACAGTTAGTCTTGAATTGTTTTCTGCATGTTGGTCACACCAAATTTTTTTGCATATATCTGCATGTTGGTTGCAATTACACGTAAAACATAGGAATTGTTCTTTAATTCAGAAACGAAAAACATAAAAGAATGTGAAGAGTTCAGATGCAGAAGCCTCTAAGTGCCATTTGAAATTTTCTTCTAAAATGACCATTTTTATCAAGCTTGTATATTTAAGTTCAGTAATTTCACTTAAATGACAATTAATAGGTAATCTTCATTGCCATTAAAGTGAAATTACTGAACTTAAATATACAAGCTTGATAAAAATGGTCATTTTAGAAGAAAATTTCAAATGGCATTTAGAGGCTTTTGCATCTGAACTCTTCATGTATGAATTGAATCTTTAATGTATTTTTGAACATCTTAATACAATAGTCCTGTCTTTTACAGTCAATATTGTGTTTTATTTTCTAGTCGGCCATTGCAGGATGGAGATATCATCAATATAGATGTCACAGTGAGTCCTCTCTTAAATTGTTAGTTAATTGTTGTTAGATTCCAATGAAGTTCTGTTTCATGCATCTCTGTATCTGTAACTAGTAGATTTGCATTCTGTAGGTTTATTTGGAAGGTTACCACGGTGACACCTCAGAGACATTTCTGATTGGCTCAGTCAATGAACAGGGGAGGAAGTTAGTGGATGTGGCTCGTCAGTGCAGAGATCATGCCATCGCCGCCTGCGGACCAGGACAACCTCTGTGCATCATTGGCAACACTATAAGGTCCGTTTCCACACTCATCCCAGTTTGCATCGCCGGTTGAATTCTTAACATCATCCAGCACCTTCAAGAATGATGGAAAATGTTCTTTTATTCATTAAATTCACCCACTTGCTCTTTTTTTTGTTAAAAATAGCAAATCTAACCCCTAAACCTCTCTGTTATCCCTATTGTGCACAAAAGTATGCAATATTGCCTTGTCAGGCTATAAAGCCCTTATTTGATAGTGTAGTGTCTGAAGAAGGACTACACAGAGTTAATGTATTTCTCAGTGAGCTCCGAGCAAGCAATTACCCAGAGTGCATTGGGGTTTTTCCTGCAAAGGGGTGTAAATTACAGGTTAGTTTGTCTTGTTGGATGTGTGCATGTGTCTGTGTGTGTGTGAGAGAGAGAGAGCGAAGTAAATTACAGGCTTGCTCCTGCTGTCTTTGAGAATCGTAGACTCTGCCAGGGTGGATTCAGCTCCCCACAGAGACACGAAAAGATCCGCAGGAGCCTTTTCACAGAGAGAGAGGACATTCTCAATCACTCACATACAGTACAGACATCTTTAACAACATCTTATTGACTTTGCACTTCTAATACAAAGACGTAAATCTGCAAAATATCAATTGTAGAGATGCTGATATTGGTTCAAGGTCAAAACATGTACCTGAACAAAGTTTACTTTGAATATTTTATTATTTCTACTTTAATTTCGTGGCATAAATGTGTGTTTTGAATGAATCTTGAAATTAATACATTTAGGTGATTAAATGTGAGGATTTTCATGCATTTTGTGCAGTGTAGCAATATATATTCCTTCTGTGCCTGAGGAAGCAATGCTTTTGTTGTTTCTCTCTCTCTCTCTCTCTCTCTCTCTTTGCGTAGGATTCTGAGCTTCTACAGGGACATACACTGTTATTATATACACACACAGAGGGAACAATTACCTCTCCTCAGGAAAAAGCACTTAGACCTCTTTCACTCCTTCTCTCCCTTTTTTTTCTTCATGCTGGCACCCTGGCATCCTCTCTCAAACTGTCTCTTTACATTTCTTTGTCTCTGTCTTTTATTCTCGTCTTTTGTGTTATACACCTTCTTTGTCCTCTACCTTTCCCTTCCTCGAACATAATAATAATAATATAAAAAAAAAACAACTATGCTTGAATGTTTCTAGTGTGCATTTCAGACACTGTAAAAAGCTGTAGGCAACATGGTTAAATTTGACATGTAGAAGGCAACTCCCTAATTGGGTGTAGACTCATTGGTAAACCAGAATTTACTTTTACATTTGAAGGGTTAGCAAAAAATGGAAATGAAATGAAAAACATTGTCATCAGTAACTCACCCTCATGTCGTTCCAAACCCGTAAGACTTTCGTTCATTTTCAGAACACAAAAGATATTTTTAATGAAATCTGAGAGATTTTAGTCCCCTCATTGACGGCTACACAACAGACAAGAGATTGTAAAACTAATCCATATGAATTTTGTTGTTTAGTCCATATTTTCTGAAGAGACTAACTAAAGATGCTTTATATGACGAACAGATTGAATTTAGGCTTAAATTCACATATAAACATAAACCGAAGATCAACCGAACCTGCTTGACGCGCAAGAACAAACCTAATTGGTTCTTGCAGAGGCTCAAACGTGCTGCGCGACACATGAGAATGAACCTCATATGTTCTTGCACGTCAAGCGAACATATTTGAGCTTCAGTTTATCATGTTGATGATAGTGTTTCTTTAGAAAATTTGGAATTAAACGCTCAATTCATATGGATTAGTTTTACAATCACTTTATGAACTTTTTGAAATGTCATTGTGGTAATCTGAGCGTGAGTAAATGACAGAATTTTCATTTTTGGATGAACTACCTTGTTAATTGTTTAGTAGAAACTTTTATTCAAAAGAGAAAAATATCATACAGCAACCAAGATAAACTTGGCTAAACATACATCATAGTATTCCCTTATCATCTTTGTTTTTGAATTACAGCAATATAGCTAACTCAAATGGATTCCGCTTGTGCCCATACTTTATCGGTCATGGGATCGGAACGTATTTCCATGGTCATCCAGAGATATGGCATCATGGTAAGAGGTCAAATTATTTAATTATTATTCATTCGTTGTACTTCATTAGTATCTTCATTAGCCTTGATTGGCTTGCTTAAAGGGATAGTTTACGCAAAAATATGTTTTCATTATTTACTCACCCTCATATGTTTCCAAACCTGTATGACTGGATATTTTGAAAAAAGCCTCAGGGTTTTTTTCTTCTTGTTTTTCTCGTCCTTCTAATGGAAGTCAGTGAGGTCCAATGTTGTTTGGAAACTAATGTTGTTCAAAGTATCGTATTTTATGTTCGTGCAGGTTTAGATTAATATGAAGGTAGTAAATAATGACAGAATGTTGCGTTTTGGGTGAACAAACACTTTAATATGTCTAAGCTTTACTTATTTAGCTATTTAGTTTTTGTGTTATTGTAACTGTGTGGATGAAGTGGATTGACGTGATCAGCAAAGGTGTTTTACCCTTATTATCACCAGGGTTCATACTACTTTTCTCTTTTACAGCCAATGACAATGATCTACAGATGGAAGAGGGCATGTCCTTCACCATAGGTCTGTGTGTGTACTGATCATTGTTTTAGATCACAGAGAGACTGAAAATTATTGAGCACCTCAATGTAAGCAAGCATTTGTAGGATTTTAGGAAGTTTAACCATCATATCCCATTTTTCCAGAACCCATTCTTATGGAGGGATCCTCAGAATTCAGGATCCTGAGTGACAAGTGGACTGCTGTATCTGTGGATGACAAAAGGTGTTGTTTAATTTTTGTCACCCAGTTCTTGAATGAGAGCCCAATGCAGCCATTTACATGTAGCCTACATTAATCATTCATTACTTCATGCAAGAATAAGTGGGCAATTTCTATTGAGAATCTTCAAGAACTTTGTTTCTATTGGCTGTTGACATTTACCTCAGAAAGACTAAGTACCCTCAGAATTTGAAGCACACGGAGAGCTAAGTGCTATGCTATAAACTTTCCTTTAACAGCATATATTTCACTGGAGAGCACTCCAATGTTAATTGCAAATGAGCTGATTGCCCTGTTGGCAGGTGAGAGCAGAGTGTTACTTGGTCAGTGGTTGATTAGAGCTCTGATTTTTAAGTAATAATATGTATGACGTAATATGCATTTATTCCTTTAATTCTACTTCTATGGCGTTTTTTTTTTAAATATATTTTTTAATTGCAATTTCTGACAAAATATTGTTGAGCTTGGCATAAAAATATATATTCATAAAATATATAAAAATGCCCATTGAGGTTTTTTAAAAAAAAAAATTATTTATTTTTTTTATGATAGGTTACATTTATCATTTTTCAAAGGAAAATACAACACCACCACAATCTCATGGCAATTCGTAACTATTTAACATTTTGGCAAATTGGAGATCGGGCTGGCATCCAGGCTATGGCTATATAGTATGAATTTGTATACGATCTCATTCTGCTTACTCCTCAGTGACGGGTACATTTAGAGGCTGGGTTAGAGGTGAACCATGCTTAATTTTTTCTAATGATCGTAAGTTTTTTGTAAGATTCACACAAAATCGCCACCTTGTAACATAGTTCTTTTTCCCTATGAGAACAGGTTGGGGGAAAATTTAAATATAACTTGATTTTTAAGTTGTTTTATCTTGATAGGCTATTTAGTTTCGTCTTTATTTTAAATCATTTTAAGGCCCCCTTTATGCCTTCTCGGAAGTTTGCTGAGACCCCAGTGGGACCCAGCCCACTGGTTGAAAACCTGCTCTAAGTTGGAAGACTAAATCTCTCAACATGTTCACCTGTGTGTGTGTGTTCTCTTTTCTTGTTAATATTTAGATCAGCACAATTTGAACACACGGTTGTCATCACCTGCGATGGTGTAGAGATTCTGACTAAACTACCAGATGAAGATTGACTGGACAAGAATTATGGAACATCTTGAAGTGTGACGTGTGATCTGGACGTTTTTAGAATAACAAGCTGTTTTTTAAATAAATGTGTTTCTTAACATGTAGACAATGTTTTATCTTATTTTTATTAGCTTGACCAAATATCTTATTGAAACAGCTGTGGAGTTCCATTAATGGGTTTTTACATCTTGAATTAATGGGTTTTAATTACTTAATGCATGTAGGTTATTGTGTAGCCTAATGAGTTTCAAAATCTCTTCACTGTTACAAACTCTTTTGTTTCTGATGTCATCTCTGACAGAGCTCATTGAAAGCTCAGGGAATGAAATGTCATTATGTCTTATTATTATGGCGGGGTTTCTCCGTACATCATAATATTACTCCGCAGTAATGTAGTTAGCGCTGTGGATCTCTCGAGAGGTGATTATATTTATGGGCCATGGGTTACCATATGAGCCATGTGTAGCTTATCAAGAATACCCTATAATCATATCTGCTTCACGACATAATTCGGAGACTGCTTATGCTATCTGACATTTGACAGAGTTTGAATGTTGCTGCCTGAAGAAGTGCATGCGCATGCATCCTCAGTGACATAGCTGTGTGTCCAGTACTAGCCTATAAAAAAATGAACTATTTAAAGTAAATTTTTATGCTATATAAAGAAATCATATTTTACACGTAGCCTGTATTAAATCGCTTCAAAAACGCGTTGGGTGAATGAAAGAAGTCAAATGACCAGAAATGAATCTCGAGCCGACTTCCATTCTTGGCTACATCTGTTTAGTGGCTGCACAATTAAAGTTAATTACATTGTGACCCTTACTAGTTAATCCGTAGGTTCGTTTGCTATGCCATCTGGGAAGATTGCTGCTTTTGCTCGAAACAGTCCGTCTATCTAATGGGCTAAAGAAACGCGCACTTAAATCACATATAAAAAAACTTTACATGATCTAATGAGTTTTTGTGTCCTTCATAATGTAGCTTAAAATACGTATGATTTATTTTTCGAGATAGGCTAGCTATATAGGCCTATCATTAGGACTACAGTAGATTTAAACGGCCATGAATGGTTATTATGTCTTAATAACATTTTAGTTAGGCTATAACGGCAGCGCGGATGGAATTTCAGATAGCCTTTAATCTTATGAAACACATTAGCCTAAAATATATAGACTTTACAAAAATAAATAAATAAAAACAGAAAAGGCAGATTATGAGGATGATGTAGGCTACATTAGCTATTATTATTAGCCTAATCATAATAATCTGGCTATATCTGTTGAAGGTCTAGCCTTGTGATTTGATCACACTCTCTGACCGCACATGGTGCCTCTAGCCTTTGTATTCTGTGCTCATTAAATCGAATCATAATTGCAGCCATTTAGTTTTTGTGCATCCTCACGCATTTTCCTCTGTCTGTCGCAATTACGAGCAGTTTCTGGCGCAGAGGAAATCTTTTCAGTCGGACAAAAGAAAAAGGGAATAGGCAGGGAATCAATAAGCGTTTTTCTGATGATATATACAGCATGCTGAACCGGTAGCAGGTGTTGTAGTCTCACGATGTTGTGAACCTTATTGACCGTATAATGTTGTATTTTCGCTCACTTTTCGTTTCAGCGTTTTATTTCCGTATTTTCAGTTTTATTTACAGCATTTCATTATCTTTTCTTAGTGTTTGAAGTTGAAATATTGCTGAATAGCCAATTTAGTCCTATAGGCTTTCTTTTCCCCTGTTTCATGGACGTTAATGCGCAAGGGCTACTATAGTCAAATCAAATCAACGCCAAATCAACTTTTGCGATACTGACAACCCACCCATCGCGTAAACATGTGCTGCTAGTCTACAAAAAGCTTTATCAAGTTATTCAAATGATTTTTTTTTTTCAGTAGAAACCCCCTGCTTCATGCAGATGTAGGCTATAGATTTGAATCCGCGGAAGCAGTCATTTGGATTGGTGTGGTTGCAAATAAGCCCCGGCATTTCAATTACTGCCAGCTGTGAATGTTGACATAAGGAGTGAAGCAGAACGGTACAAATGTGCTATACAATCAGAGTCTTTGGGTTTGAGAATGAGATAGGCTACCCCAAATCAGAATAAAAATAGATGCCTTTTTCAATAAGAATCAAAGAATTCGGGGCCTGTAACAACGATGTCCATATTTAGAAAAACCACGGAAGCACAAATGAACCTCAAAAGACACAAATCATAGAATATAAACAATTAGTTTCAACAGCCCATGAAACTTTATTCTTTATATATAGCTAGTGTAACCTTCGGGAACAGGACCTACTGATGATTCTGCTGTGTGTGTTTGTTTGTTTGTTTGTTTGCTAGGTCAAACTGATTGATTTCTTCGTAAGTCTATATTCTTTTCATTAGCCTATGTTTTACTTTTAAAAATACAATTTAAGATTTTTAAATAATAGGCTACAAATGTTTTTTGAATTTAAGAAAGTAATAGGTTCATGACATATACAACATAGCTGAATAAATAGGCTTCACTTGACTTGAAGGCCAAATCGTCCAATAAACCAAATATGCAATCTACTGTTTATAATATTTTCCATATAATTACAGAAACGTTTAATCCCAATTTCACAATGACAAAAAGGTTACATGGACTAGATTACAGATACTGCAGAATATGCAATAGGCAACGCCAAAATTTTTAACTTCAAAGTAGGCTAACACTTGGGCAAGTAGTTGCTTTGCCCTTAATCCGGATTTCCCACCAATTCCAGTAACTATTTTAGTTCCAAAAATATTGAACGTGACTATGTAAAGACGTGAGGCAAGCTAAGAGAACTGTGTGTCCCCGTACAAGAATAGCTCAAGGCTGAACTGGAGCTGGAAGCGAGGGCTCGAGGAGAATGTTTCCAGGGCGGTCTGCTTGAGGCGGTTTTATGTATTTTTTCTCTGGTTGAGTGGCGTTCATTAAACGTCTGGAAGAGGAGCGAGCTGACTCCAGAGAGTCTGGAGTGGGAAGAGCTCTCGCCGCACGCGGAACGCCCTCGCATCTCCTTCTGCGCATGCCAAGACGCGTCTGAATGCCAGAGGTATAGGATATAGCCTACCTCCTCATCAATTTTTTTTCTTTTCTTTTTAACAAAGGATTAAATAGAATTCGATTCGTTCAACCGAATAATCACACATGCATTAAAAACGCGATGCTATGCACTGAAACAGATAGTCTATGCATAGAAAAAGTAGGCTGCATGGTCTGCAGAATGTTTTCTGGAAACCTTTGCAGCCATTCATTTCTGTTAAAACAAAGTTAAATTAGTGCATATAAACCTATGTTCTATTTACCCAGAGATCGTCCAAAATTGTCACAATTTAGTTTCATTGAGTTTGAGCGTTTTAAAAGAAAAAAAATGCCAGGTTCAACGGACGTTGAAATATCAACACACACGGTTATGCCAGTTGTACGATCCATTGATAAGATCAAATATCATTTTTACAGGCAAAAACCAGAAAAACCGTGGGTCAATGAAAACATCCATACGCGATAATCAAAGAACGAAACGTTAATTGATAGTATAAACGCACATTTAATTGCAAGTTGTATAAGCATTTTAATAGATTCATCACTAAACCTATATAGGCCTATTATTCTGTACAACACACGAAAAAGGGCTACCCGTTTGTACTTGGAATGTGAAATAAACACCTGATTACCTCTTTCAATTGTACTATAACGAAAACAAATAAATAAATAGAAAAATAATTTAATATGCGTTGTTCGGTCACCTCCAAAGTATTCCACAGCAAACATCTTTAGCAAACCCAGCCTGAAAATAGATTTTAAAGTTAATGTTCTCCTAAAATACAAGTCCAGTGACACGGTAGGC